AAGGAGCGAGAAGAGTTATGCGGACTACTTTCTGCAGTTTCGAGAGTGGATTAGGAAACAGCGAAGTAGACCTTACTCACAGAGATGTCTTTCGACAAATCGCGAGAGCCTTGCGCTTTATCCAGCTGAAATCTCAGATGTGGTTACATCAGATAAGCCCGGAAAGTTATACGTGTCCCAATTGGCGACCAGTTTTAGAACGACGAGGTCATTCTGGCTGACTGTTCGAGAGATAATATCAAATGCTGACTGATCCGCAACTAGGGTCAAGCTGTCTGTCCCGAAATTCACAAGTAAAGTTGAATGTGTCCTACTGGCGCGAGATAGGAGGGAGGAGTGGGGGTAGTGGCCTGCACGCGCACCCGTCAAAGTTGAGCGGAGCGATGGCCGTCTTGTGCACCGCCGTGAAGCGCTTACACTCTCAGCTGGTCGGAAGGGTACTCATGACAAATCAGAACAGTGTAAAAAAAATCCACACCACATCTGTACGTAATGTTCGACATTTATTCAATACACGAAATGCAGTGTCAGCTGACTTGATGAGCTCTATCCTAGTAAAATAAATAATTACGATTTCCAAGAGAGAATGACTCTCTCATATAAAGTGTCATCAGATTCGAACGGTGACGCGCCTTAGCCGCGTCGCGACTCTAATCAAGTGCCCGGGTGACTACTGTATCTCAGGTTCAGGGAATAGGGTCCATATAATGTAATCGGCGTGAAAACAATTGGTCACGTTAGCCCCACAGGCTCTGACGTGGCACTCTTCGCACGCTTTGAAACAGTCCCACCCGTCCACCCGCACGCCACGTTCAGGCTGCGGATACGACTTGTGGAGGGGGGGGGAAGTGCTACTCCAAGGTGGGCGGGACCGGACAAAATATTCTATCTTTGTTTTAGAGCACTCCAGACGTCGTAAGGAGTGGGTTATGTAGAGATTGGTCGGAAGGGATGTGGGGTACACATGTTGTGGGCGGAACCAGAAAAAAAAATGTTGTTCGCTTCCAGTTTTCTTCAAACGCCGGTAGAAAGTGGATGAAGGCCAGCCAAGAATCGTCGGTCGAGAAATATGGGGCAGATAGGTTTTGGACGGAGGCATCTCCGAGGTGGGCATAGTCAGAGAGAAAAATCGATGTGGATAGAGGCCAGCCAGTGGTCGTCGGTCAAGAATGTGGAGCACACAGGTTGTGTGCGGGCCCTGCCATCAGGTGACTGGGGCTAGGCAAAAATTGTAGCTTGTGTTTCAAGGCTCCAGAAGGCAGGAAAAGCGCATCAATGCTAACAACGAGTCGTCGGATAAAAAAATGTGGGGCACAGATGTTCTACAAAAAAAGTCTGTAAG